GGAGTCCCCGGCTGGTAGTGGTTAATAACCAAGAATTTTGTAATTTAAAAAAATCACATTGAGCTAAGTTTGCATTATATCAGAAGAAAATGCACAAAGCAACAATAAGGTTTATCTTTTGACATTTTGACCAATGGGCATTCAAGGAGGGTGAAACTGAAGCAGACACCTCACATGGCTTAGAGTGTTTTTTCTTACTTTATCTCAGTAATTACCTGTTCTAAAATGAAGGCATGCTTATCCAGTGACAACTCCTTTGGAATGCGGACACCTGGGTCGATGCTGAGTCGTCGTCTGGGCAGTGGCCTTTCTCTCCAGCCTCCAGGAGGGGAGATCATTTCTCTTTCGTACTCCAGTCCATCAAGGGGATGGTCACTTCCCCGGCCGCTAGGCTCAAGGAAAGGTCGTGGGGGTGGAAGTTCCATCAGTGGACGAGGTCTAAGGGGCTTGTCATCTGCTCTGTTGTCTGGGTTCGGTGTCTTCTCTTTTTGCCGACTATCCTGGTCCTTAGAGTCAGGTGTCCTAATGAAGAAAACAATGCTAATGTCAAAAATCAGTTACTTCGTTTTTGAGAAACTGTGTTCTATTACAAATATTCCTACTGTACTTTTAGTACTGTTAATATTTCTTAAAAGCCGAGTACAATGCAGTGGTGAATGGTAGTTTTACCCGTTTTTCAACTGAAACATTGTATTTTGTATTTTTTTAGTATTTTGTTTATCAACGATGTTTGGCTACTTTCACCCTCACTTTGTCACTGTTTTCACAAAGACCCACACGTCAAAAACGGCATTTCTTTTTAATTTTTATTTGTTTTCACTCTTTTGTTCTAAAACATTGTACCTGATGTTTTTGACGTTTCCTCAAGCAAAACATCATTAATGTCCAAATTACATTAATGTTGTTAGGGCCAAAATCTTGAAAACTGCATTTTGTGTTTTCATGTAGAAATACAAATCTGACTGCCCCTTGTACCCATACAAAACTTATTGACTGGAAGGGCCGTAAAGGTCAACTGAGGTTTTCGTTTTCACAAAGAGACACAAATCTGTTATATTCACAGGGGCTTGTGCATAAACATGCACACCCCTTCCCTCTGGAAAAATACATGGAACAGAAGGGCTGAAATGTAGGAAAACATGGATTTTCGATTTCACAGACAGACGTGCATCTTTACCAATTAATTTTGGCTAATAGATTCAGGCACTGTGTTCATTTTAATTACTTAGTTCAGGCAAAAGTTTATTTCTCAAAGAATAATTTGAGGTTTTTTCAATGCATGAACTTGTTCTGTATTATCTTGAAATCCAGTTTTTCTTCAAAGTCTGTATGTGTGGCTTTTTGTGAACATGGCAGCGATTTTTGCTGTAATAATCGGAGACAGACAAAATTCCCTTTCACTTGATTTACCATAGTACAAGACACATAGAGGTCATTTGACTGATTTTGACGGATGGGAAAACTTTGTCAAGAATGCATCTTTGCATAGGAGGGCTACATGAAGTTGAGCAAACAAAGGAAATGTTTGGTAAAACAAAGCTCATTATAGCCACATGCCCATGGAAACCCATGCAGCTGTGTGTACTTTATACAAGCAAAATTTCGCCTTACTTTTTGGGCAGTGGTGGCTTCTTTGGTGGCGCTTCTTCTAAGCGGGGTCGTTTACTGGGTGCATCTTCTTTAGACTCTGGCTCTTTTTCAGTTTCTTTAACAGGTGTCGTTGAAGGTGATCGTCTTTTCTCAGATCGTCCCAGTGCAGGTTTATTTTCCTCCTTAACGACCGGCACATTTTCTTTACTGCCACGTTGTGATTTAACACGCTCATCAATGTCTTTATTGGAAATGTTATCAAGGTCTTTCTTGTGACTGTCATCATCTTTCTTCCGGATATCAGCATCTTTCTTGCGTATGTCGGAGGCAGGTTCCGGTTTCTTTTCTTCCTTGGTTTCTTTGACAGGGCGAGGCAAGTCCCTGCCAAATTTGTCTGCCTTGGGGGCTCCGCGTGTGGTAGTACGAACCTTATCTGAACCACGCGGAGAGCGCGACCTTGCAACTGGGGATCTTGACCGTGAGCGAGACCTGTTAGATTTCCGCCTGGAGCTGCCAATCCTGGAGGGTTCCCTGGAGCCAATGATTCTCTCCTTGGGCCGGTCACGGTAGTCTCGGTCTCGTTCTCTGCTATCCCGATCTCTACTGGGCCAGCTGTCTCTTTTATCAAAGTCCTTCTTGGAATCTCGGCTTGTTCGTCTCTCTGGCTCACGGGAGCCTCTTTCTCTGTTTTTACTGTCACTTCTCAAGTCTCTTTTCTCATCACTGGACCGGCGTGGAGAGCGATCGTTAGATTTCACATCCTTTGATTTCTCTTGCTTGGCAGGTCCTTCTATTTTGGACTTTTGGCCCTCTGTGTTTGAATCTGTTCCTTTTGACTCTTTTGGCTTGACCTCTGATTTTAAGTCCTTGTCACTGGGCTTTGGCTTGGCGTCAGGTTTAGTTTCCCGTAACTGGTCAGCTGGCTGCTTTGAGTCTGTGGCTTTACTGTCCTTAGCTGCATCATCTTTTTTCGTATGCAACTTGGGAGTTGGTTTGGGAGTAGGCTGTGAAGGTGCAACAGTGACCACACTTTTAAGCTGCTGATTAGTAATGGCTTGTGACACACCATCGGAGGTAGCTAGTGACATGGACAGTGGCTGGGCGACTGACATGGCTGGACCCTGTGCTGTGCTTTGGACCGGAGGTACAGTGGCAACTGCTGGCGCCGTTGGAGCTGTTGATGTAGGCACTGTAGGAAAGGCATCTGCAGCACCACGAGTCCTGGGATCACGGCGAGCTAGTCTGGGATCACGAGCTATGCGAGGGTCTCGGGTAGCCGGTGCAGCCTGAGTTCCCTGGAAATCAAGAAACAGCAGAAAAAGGAAGCTTTAATTTTTGACAGTCCTTAAAATGGTGCACCTTGATCATCATATTCCACATACTTTGTGCATGCATCCAAAAACTGCAGGATATGTGGCTGTAAGTGAAAGGGTGATTCTCTAACAATCTCAGGTTTCTCAGGAAGAATTCTGAATTCTTTTAAAAGAATTATGAAAAACATTATTTCACTAAATTAACCACAAAAGACTGCTGGGAATTACCAACATTTTTTTCAGCCTTGTTTTGAAACAGTATACCACGGTTTGGGGCATTCAGCGTGAGCGGATTAGCACCAGGGACAAAACCGCTCCACCACCGCAGCGATAAGCCCCACAGTACCACTGCATGCTAATCTGGCCCCTATTGAAAAGAGGTCAGCAGCGCACTGTGCCAGTCTCTTGAACAAAAGAAAATTATGTGACACCGCGAGATCTGGGTTCTTTTTACAAGGCGGCAGGCCTGGCTGAAATACTCCAGTGTCAATAGATGTCTGTCAGATTAGAGTAGAAACCAGACAGTCCTTCATGTGGGTGTAAATGTCGAGTAAATGAAGATATGAATTTTTAAAAACTCTTGAAAACAGAAGAAAATGATTATTATCCTGTTCCAGCATCACCAACATTGATAAATGACACCGGCGCGAAGTGGTTAACTTGAAGTACAAGGTACGAAGTCAAAAAGAATTGCCAAAATGAGATTAAACTTTTTGAAAGGAAAAATTCTTTATAAGCCAAAAGAGCCACAGTTTCTCAGCAGCAGATGTCCTTCCGGAAATTTTCAGAACAAAAAAATGGGTGACAACCCAGCAAAATGTGAACCCTGTTTAGAAACTATACCAACCTTTGTAATACAGGTAACAAAAATCATACCTTTTTGGAGTGGGCTAGTTATATGAAGTCTTGGGCTAAGACTGACCTGTTGGACTGGTGGGACTTGTTGCGTAGGAAGAACAGACTGCATGGGTGGAACCATCTGCTGACCAAATGGTGGCATGGGTGGGGGTGGCAAATACACCTGCTGCTGTGCTTGCTGCTGTGCTTGGTGCTGTGCTTGCTGCTGCTTGGCGTGCATAGGCATTATCGACGGGTCATGAGCTAATATCATGGCAGGACCGTTCTGGCCTGGCAGCACAGGGTGTCCAGCGGGCCACATGAGGGATGGCTGGGGGGTCCCTGGCCAAGTTGCTGCTGCAGCTGCAGCAGCTGCTGCTGCCTGATGCTGCTGCTGTTGGAGGACTTGCTGCTGCAGAAGAATCTGTTCATTTTTCTGCTTGAGCTCCATAGCCTAGAAAACGCAGACATACTCCATCATTTTTAAAAGATTTCAATATATAACAGGGTGCTACACTATAAACCAAACCTTATTAAAGAGTAAAGGATCCATCTTCTAGTATTTCCATATTGAATAAAACAGAAAGGCTGCAAAGTCAGTTCCAGTCAATTACAACTATAACAGTCCTGAAATCCCAAAGTTCCCCCAACAAATGGAAGATTCAGGACTGTTAGGTGTTAGGACTACCCTTTTCACCCACAAGATTTCTACTTTGTTTCTGTAACTGAGAGAATATCAGGGAGACCTAATGCCTGCCTCGTATTTACAATACTTGTTCAGTTGTATTTCGATATATTCACTTCAACTTTAACAAGACACTCAGTGCAGTAACAAAAAATCTGCACAGAACAATAAGAGGATATTTGAAGTGACTGTCTTGCAATATCTGTCAGGAAGGGATTCCAGTCTCTTTAAGAAAGCATTTAGTCAACCCAACAAGCATGCAACAATTCAGCCCAATTGATTTTTATCTAGATCTGGCTTGTCAAAATTTACCCCCTTCCAAATATTTTGTTATCCAAATTTGATGAAGATTGATCCACCCCAGTGAAAACCAGCGGCGTAGCGAGTGGGGGGGTGTGTGGCAGGGTGTTGAACCCCCCCCCAATAATTCTTTTCAGTCGGCAAATAAAAGGTCAGTTGGCAAATGAAACTGAAATAGACGTCATGAATTATTGACGTACACCGACCAGTCGGCCACCAGCATTTCCCTGAAGCTGCCTGAAGGTGTGTAATGCTTACAAAATAACTGCTAGCCTACTCAGGATTAACATCAGTTTTTGTCTGAATCTGCCTGTCCTACGGTCCAAAGTCAGGTTGCCGAGTCCCGTATGTATTTTATAGGTGCCCGTCCGAGTCTTGGCCAATCGCGATTGCCGCGCATGATCGCGCTCAGTTTCCTTAAATACACGAGGCTCATGTACTATAGTACATGTGTATACTTGTGTTAATTGAGTAGTTTCCCGAGCACAAACGGCAGGTGGGCTGGGTGAGGGTCAGCTAGAGTATACTCCCTGTCGACACACAGGATAGGAGTATCCTCCTGACCCGAGAGTAATGCGCGCGCATCCACACTCGGATACCAAGTAATCGCGCGAACGCAGCCTACTGGGTAATATGCATTTCTCCATGGTACATGTACGTGCACTTGTGCTGTAGAAGTAAAGAGGAACGGGTATCAGTTGCACAAGATTGGACTGGTGCCTGAGGGTGTGCGCAGGGTAGGGCCCGTCTGGATCTGCATGGGTGGAAAATTGTTTCATACACATAGTTTTTAGAGAAACTGTTTAGTGTTTTATTGCAAACAAAAAAACAGATAACGTATAGCCGAGCCGCCTGGAGTATTTTTAAGGATTATTCTGCTAACTGTAGTCGTAATCGGTTCTTTTTTGCCTAATAGATTAGTACACTGCCTTCGCTACACCGCTGTTAGTAAGCGACAACTTTGCAAAATGAGCGCACGCAGAAAGTACATAATAAAGTAAAATGATCTGTAAATTTTTTTGCCTAAGTGCTGTAGTTTTTTAAGAAAACGATTTTTTGCAGAGTTTTTCCCATTTTTTAAAAACCATTCATCCGGACGATCTTTGAAAAATGCACTTTGTTAAAATCTCACAACCATTTGAGCAGCTCTGCACGTACATGCACACGCACATTACCTCTCCACAGTCAGTTGACTCAGTTTTAAAAAATGTGAATCGTACTTAATCGTTGGAAGAGCCTACCGATATGTTTTTATTCCTCCATGCGATATATGAACAAACATGGAGGAATGCAAGAGCAAGTAACATTAAAAACATCCATGAACTCGCTTTTGGCGGCACAACTCAAACACGTTGTAAACTGTCAAAATTCATCTAGAGTTGTACCTGGTGACCTCAAGAAGAATTTCAATTCATTTTAAGAGATTATTTCAGACTGCAAAAGTGCTAGCACGGGCAAAACAGTATACTGTCTTATAATCACCCCTTCAGAGATAATGTTATAACCCAAACCACTAAACACATCCGCTTGTTTTCGAGGTCCGCTGTGACGGCCGTGTTTAACTTGCAATTTCCAGATATTTATTCTCCTATTTATGCAAATGATCTCTGTCACTAATACACAAGTATTTGCCTCATTTTTTGATTGGATTAGGGTTTTTTTTTTACGTGCAACGACAATGTTTGGACAGTGACCATGCAATGAGACAGAGTGCCTTTTTATGTGCAGTAAAGAAACTGCACAATGACTGTACAACGTGCAAGCTTGTTGAGGTGCCATGACTCGCAATATGGTCGCTGTGCAGCTGCATGATTAAGCGTTGTTCATATTTCGAAACCACGCCACATCATTGTATTTTCAAAAGAAGAGAGTTTAACTTCAAAATAAATTTGTCGAGTTCGATGCTTGAACTGAATAAATGGGGTTCAAATCTCTGTCGGAGAACTGCAAATCCTGATCTCTGCTGCCTTACAGGTGACTCTGTTACAACGTTCTGTGGTCCGATGGTCCATGGATTTTTGCGAGAAAATTTACAGGAGCTGCTCCTTGAACTCCAAAAACGATCATCATTTTTTTGGATTTTTTTCGAAACAGTTTAAATTAAAATGTGAAATAAATCAATGGATTGGTACTAACAGTAAATAACCATCACCCCAAAACCTAAATTCAAAAAAATTCTAAATATTACTGCAAATGCCAATCTTACACACCCCCTTAAAACACCCCTTCTGCATTTTACGAATTTCACGCGTTACGTGGACTAAATTGCCGAACAAGTTACAAGTGCGAAAATTGACCCTGGCACACTCCCCCAAAAAAATGCTTTCCCTACGCCGCTGGTGAAAACATACTCCTGATAAACCTAGTTTGAATAGGCTTAGGTACAAACCTGTTCCTCCAATTTGCTCTGTGTCTGCTGCAGTTCAAACTCCAGCCGTTTCTGCTGCAGCTGCAGCAGCTGTTCCTGTTTCTTGAGCAGCTGCTGCCTCATCTCCATCTCCTGTCGTTCGCTCTCCTTCTTCTTGCGTTCAGCCAACTCCTCCCCACTCAGCTGTACACTGGTGGCCTGGGTGGTGGCGGCTGGTTGGGATGTCTTAGTGGCTGCCACAGTGGCCTGGGGCTGGGGTGGGGTGTGGAGGGGAAAAGAAAGCTGGATTAATTTAGAGAACATGAGAGAGTAGCCAAGATGGATGCAGGGATGGCACAACGTAATGGGGTCAAGAATGTAAAAACATCAGGACACTGTTAGGAAGGTGAATGTAATTATGAATGCACAATCAGGACTGTGAGAATAGATCATAAAAGAAAACCTGCAAAAAACAGAGATGAGCACTAGATACAGGCACTGCAAACGTACTACCAAATACTACATAAATATTCATAGCTGGCGGCAAATCCACTCTCCTTTGCACTGACATCAACCTACCCCATAACTCTCAATGAACACTCAAGCCCACTACCCTCACCTCCCCTCTTATACACTACTGGGGGACTGGAATTAAGGGTTATTATCACAACTAGTAGTTTAAGATGCGGGCAAATAGTGCGTCTTCAGTTTTCCAAAAATGAAACACATAAAAACCTCAGGGAGGGGGCACAATGAACAATTATACTTTAAATTCTTCTAAAGGTCTGGATAAAAAGCTCTGATCTAGGCTTTGCAAACATTGATCTCAAATGAAGTTACCAATGCTTGTTTAAAGATGAATTCACAAAATGTTTTCAGTGTAAAAGGAATTTGTATTGTGTATTTCATTCCGACAGCTCCCCATACCAACTTAGTGTTTGTTGTAACGCATCTTGAATTCCATCATAGCCAATAGTTAATGTTGGCTGTTTGATCACTGGATATAAAGTTCCCACATTGATGGCCCACATCTGTTACCAGCAGCCACCTGTTAGATGTGAACATCTGTGCAACTCTTAGCTGACTGTTATACAGCCACAGGGCACCTGTTTACTTTTTTTATGCCACCCACTCTCCATGCTAGTCAGAAAATTCCCAAGGTAGAGCTATCAGATGGGGACAGGTTGCCTTGCATTTAAAGGTGTTCTAAAGCAGTTTAACTTCTCACTTAGGTGCAAAAACATGAGACAAACCCGCTGAAACAGAATTACAATCCTTTTGTTCAAGCAACTTTACTGAGAAATTCTGACAGCCCGTAATTCAAACCAAACAATATTCTAAACTTCCTGAACCTTAATTCCACAACTAATTTCAATCGATATAACCTCAACACTTTAAATTTGGCAAAAAGTTGCGACTACTTACCTTTTTAATAAACTTGGGGTTAACATGAATAGCAGCAGGGTGGGAGGTAGTAGTAGGGTCGGCAACAATAGGCCATGCTGGGTCCAACTCTTTCACCTTCAAGTCCAACGCATACAGTTTGGTGTGAGTGAAGTAACTGGCCCACGTCATCCGCAGTTTGAAAAGGGACTGTCTGGTTTTTTCGTCAACCTGGCATTCATTCACAATGGGCAAATGGTTGAAGATCAACAGGGTCACAAGAAGTTCTAAATTCTGTCAACAGGACTAACACCCTAACACTTAATAAATGGAACACTTGGAACTTGCAACTTAGGGGGGGGGGAGGTCTTGATGGCTAATTCAGGTGTAGTGATGGACTTTCTTTCCAAAACTTGCTGGAAGAAGAGGAGAGAAATTGCCTGTTGTGCAACTCAACTCAAACCAATGACTATTTCATTTTTGGAAATGGCCTTGTCAACACCCTGGACCCCCCCAAAAAAAAATTACACTCAAATTGAATGATCTAGAGTGTTTTGTTCTTTTCATCTAGAGGTGTTTCAAGGCATACTGTCATGGATAAGGGCCCAAGTACCTCAAGGTACAAGACGACACAGATCCTGCGGCAGGAATGGGCGGAGTTTTCGACACCGAGTGGGGCTTGGACAGTGAAGAAAATGACATGGATTGTTACATCCTGGCTATACCGCATAAGCTTATTTCAAAATCCTTCTGCACCATCCACCTCCTAACTAGTTCCGCCCTACACATATGCCTTGGGCCATACAAATGCAGATGGCAAAAACAGTCTGCATTGCTTGCTTAAACAAAATGGACAAATGCCATCATTTTCAAACAGGGGATGGGGGGGGGTTCAGGGCTTGTTTTATTTAAACTTAAGTGCAATTAACGAAAAATACACAACCTTAAACTGTTAAGACAGACACATTAACACAATATCCAATTTCCTTGAACAAGTACCTTAAAACTTCCCAAACATGGTGAAATATACATCAGACATTAAACATGGGATCAGTTTACAATGATCCTGCAAGTACATCTTTTCCCTCACATTTAGAGGTTTTTAATCAAAACCCACTTTTAATTAAAAGCCATGACTTGTGACTTAATTTGATAATTTGGACACTTGAATTTAATGTTCATCAATAAATGCCATTGTCAAAGATGCTAAATTTTATAATACAAAATTTTTGAAATCTTTTGACATCTAACCTTTTCAAATACACCGCAGAATGTCTGCACGACATTTGGGGTAAATGCCTCGAGGTAAGCACCCTTCACATTCTTGATGATAGAATCCATGAGGTACAGGACTGGTAGTTTTTCAGAGGGTTTGGCCTGCACAGACGAGGGGGGGGAGAATTGGTCACTACAACTAGCCGCTCTCACACTTCGCTACGAGTTCCCTCTCATATTCCCCCGATTCAAGGAAGAGCCCTGGGGTGTGCCTCACTGTTCTCAACATGAGCAAGTGTGAAAATTGCACCCTCCAGGTGGACTGGAGTCAAATCCTTGATCGATCCATAAAATCAAATCTGTTCCCAGCTAAAAATTCTCTCACTGACAAGACACCAAGTGGGGCATCCGTCCCTGCTCCCTGGACATGTATGTGTAAATGAAATGACCAAATCCAGGCAATACCCATTTCTGTTAAACGTTACTTAATAGGTTTCAACCATATACATTTTGCACCGACGTAAGTATCGTCAAAATACATACATCATTTCTAATAGGCTGTGTAACATGATCGAAATTCTTTTGAGAAATTATCTTGGAGAAACTGACAGGAAATGTCCTGAAGGTTAGCCACGTAAGAAAAGAAATTGCAACCCAAATCAATGACAAGGTTTTTGACTCAAACATTTTCGAAGTGATGATGCATTTCATTCCTTGCTCAAAATGTTGAATAAGACATTAATTTTCTACGTGGGTCTTCCTCTGAAGTGTGAAAGTGACTTTTCCATGCAGCTGACTTTAACAGTTTGAGAAAAAGATTTCTTCGTATCCTGTATCAAAGAAAATTCATATGGTTATTTACTAGGCAAATCTTGCGCAAGCGATCAGCCCAAACCAATTTGACCTAAAAGAATGCATACACTGCATAACACTGAAATGCATAAACTGATAAGTGTACAAGATCTGATAGCGAAATACTTAAATGGGCACTTGCAGCCCTAAAGCTTTCAAGGGGGCTACCCCTGTCAATTTGCAAACATGCCTGCGACTGGAATGTCTGAGAGCTGAGGCTAAATAGGGCTTCTCAAGTATGCCTATTGTCTCTTTCAGTTTCTGAATGGAAAACCAAGAAAATTAGCTGGTTTGAGAGAAAGTTGTAAGCTTAAGGGGAGATCTGCATTTAATGCTGAAGTGAAAGCAAAATTCATTTTGTATCAACATCTGCAGGTCCACTGTAAACTTTACTGCTGCCCTGAACAATTTTGATTATTCTGTGATGACACATACACCATGTATGGTGGGAAAAGGAAATTTCTCAGGTACAGAAGCAAGTGTTAACATGGGAAGATGTTTTCTAAATGGAGGGGAAAAAATAAGAGACTGAAGATGTGACAGTGACGGATAGAAGTTTGAGAAATTGATTCAAGTACTGATGAAAAGTTCAATTAAGCATGCTTACACATATGTAAATGACTCAACATGATCAATTTTAAACAAAAACATCAAATCAAACAAATAAAACCACAACTCTGAAATATTTTTAACCGGACACTGAACTGGCGACTGGTTGATTTGAAGTTACAAATCCAATTTCTTTAGCCAAATCATATACAAAATACTTCCAAAAAACAAGTTCCATGACAGAAGTAGGCCGTCTTCGATGTAAATCTTAAATTTTGGAAGATCCTTCACAGAGCACTTTTTTAAATCACAAATTAAATGCAGTGATTGTGTGAGTCATGTTTTATTTCAATCACCCTTTCATGTTGGCACAGCACTGATGCTGTACCTCCTTGTCAACATTCTACATGTAATGTGTGGTGTAATTCTATTTCATCCAAACTGGTCTTTTGAACTGAAACCACTCTGGACCACTATCAATTACTGAACATCTCCTGAAAGGCTAACCCAACCAAAGCTCTTTTAATCACTGTCATGTGGAGTGTTCCATCTGGGATTGCTAAACCATTTTTGAAGAGCTGTTCTATACATGTACAATAATATTACGAGTAGGTACATCAAAAGCACAACTCTTGTGGCATTGTCAAGTCCTCCTATACAGCTACATGTAGTCCCAGTGTCCAAGGCACATCAGCTACACAACTCCTGCAGACTAGATGGACATATCAAGCGAACCTCGGCTTGTGGTCATGGATTTTCAACACCAAGTGCATCTTAGTGTCAGCTTCCGTGGACCAACTCATTACTCTTTGCTCCCTGTTTAAATTTTATAGCAATTTTGCAATATTCCTTCAATTTCACGCATCACGCAAGTCTGGCACATCACATACCACAGCAAACACACAGCTAAATCCTGCAATGCCAAGACATACATGTACAGGAGACACAGAATGGCATCTATCATGGGGAAGCTACTAAGTCACTAATACTCCACTGACATGCTTTCCCCTTGTGAATGTTATTGTGCCTCCAAGTTGATCTTGGCTTTGCAGCATCAAGCAAGGCTGAAACAAACTTATCCATCACATATGATGCCAGTGCATGTACTGTTTATTTCAAGGCAGGTAAACTCAAAATAAAGTACGCAAGGCAGACATGCAACACTTCTCATTATGGTAATTGCGCAACGTATTGCATTCCGAATGTCATAATCAATGTGGAAAGTTTCTGTGAAGAGACGGCAAACTTTCAAAGGAAACTTGCATGACTAGGCATGACCTTTTCTGAACAAAGTCAACCAAAGATAAATGCCGGAATCTACACAATGGAATTGTCTTGGGAAACATGTTGCCTACATAAAAATTTTTTACGGTATTTATCATAAACAGTGTAATTTGTTCAGATAGGCAAAGTTAACAAAAATTATTTTCATATTTTAATTCCAACCAATACAAAATGCAAATATAGTAAGAAAACACCGATTTCTAATTAGCAATTCAACTTTTATTCTGTTGGGCTTTCACGTCAAAATCAATCATACAATTAGGAAAAAACCCATTTGTTACTTCCTGGAAGGAATTTTCTCTGGAAGGACACAATACAATAAAAAGAAAAAAGCCACTGTTCAAGTACATGTACACATTTCCTGTTGCACAGGAATGGCTTCAACTTCTTAACACAATGCCCGTGATACCTGATGGCAGAGGTCACTCTGACGTTATAAATAAACACATCTGCCCACACGTAGTCAAGCAACATTATATTTTATTTCCATATTCCATTAATCATTATATTTCACATATTAGAAATGCATCTTCCTGTCTAAAATAATTTTGAATACCTCAGCGTTGTCAACTGTAACTACTGGGAAAGACTATAGATATTGTACCTGCAATGGAATTTAAAAGGCAGGTTCTGCTTAATTTCCAAGAAATGTTTTATGTGCATAGGACCTAGCTATTTTTCCTCCATTGAATTAAAGTTTCAGTGACCCCCAGTCATGTCGTTTAGAAGCCCTGCAAAAACTATTAGCTTATCATCCAAAGCTGCAGTCACAAGCATGGATGAAATCTTAATTTTGGCATTGGTAAGCCCAAAACTTGAAAAGCGCTTGAATCTTTAGGTGAGTGTGAATCTCTAATGTTGCATTTATGTCAACATGTTTAACCAGAATAAAGTTTTTCAATAATCCTTTCACAGGACTATGCATATAAACAAGTTAGACTCTTTAAAAATTACTCCTTCATGGAGGATGAACCAAATATTAACTCTCATTCATTGTTAAGTAGTTAGAAAAACAGCTTTCTTTGGAACACCAAAGATAAATAACAGGCCATATTCATGAAGACTTGGCCTAATTCCAATTCACCTCTTATTTAAGTTTGTGACAAAATGCTTGTGGTTCGAATTAGGGGGCCTATTATCAATGCCATAACCTGGTGACAAGTATCAACTGTCGACAAAATGCATGAAAATGGAGAATACCAAAATGCTGACCAGAAAATGATTCTTGATCTAGTTCTAATAAAATCAGTAAGGAACTTGCACGGCGCCCCAATTAGTTTTATCTACTCTGGACGCCATATTGATTTTCTGCAAACATGATAGCAAATTCAAAATGATGGCCCCAAAGTTTACCATAACCATGATAATTGACACGATCACCATGTGCCAATATAGCAATAAGATTGATCTAAAATTATATTAGAGGTTATCTACACAAGTTAATTAACCTTCTGAAGTCGGGATTCGATGACTTCAACGATTTGCGGCGCGTGCTTCACGTTCTCTTCCGCCAACATCGTCAACATGCTGATCAGCGGTTTACTGTTGAAGGTGAGGTCGGACAACGCCGTTTCGTATTCTCGTTTCACTGTCTCCGCCATGACGAAAACCAGATGTACGGAGGCTATGTAGTGACGGGAATGACTTGAAGAAATCAAATTTCGGGAAATTGCAAAAAAATAGTGTATTTTGTTTTGAAATATGGGAGACGCCGAGTGGCAAGGCCACCACTCTGCCTGCGACGAAAATCCAGCTGCCCAAATTTGTTGCGCACAGGTAAAAGCGTTGTAAACATCACGCTGCATTTGATTGGACAATTCTGCTGCAAATAATTTACAGTACAGAGTCATTTTACCAATTTGTGAGTTTAAAAGTATAATATTTAGCACCATTATATAAAACTATACATTTTAATGCGTTCTCATTTGGCTTTGATTCTGATATGACCATAATTTAGGAGTTAGGATTTAAGACAAATATATTAAAATGTCCAATGATATGCCATTTTATTTGCGATCGGTCGTCTATAAAACGTTCACGCGTGGATATATATACTCCTTATCGATATCGCTCGTACGTCATATCACGTGACGATGAAGTCATTCACTCTTTCCCACAAGGCAATGCGCTATCTTGCTGTGCGTGCGTGCGCGCGCAGGCACGTCGTAGACATCCATCACAACTTCCGGGAAAGCTACATGTATCGTAGGGAATCCGGAAGGCAACCAAATTTCGCCTGACATGGTGATGACTTTAGTGTTCGTCCTGACAATGGTCAACTTGTAACTGTTGCGTAATGCGAGTACATGCGACACTCAAATCCCCTGTTGTCCAGATGGTCTTTGTGTGAACTCATGATATATTTGTGTGCCGTGACTAAATCGCAATTATGCTGCAGAAAATGGTGAGCAAACTTCACAACGTACACGATGTGTACCCACTTCACTCTGCCTTGTCTCCAGCCTAGGCTGGAGCACAGTCAGTGAGTGTGTGCACGCCAGTCATTTTGTTTACATCAGTAACTCGTGCTGGCAGAAAGGAGTTTGTATAATGAAGTGCCATATTTTAGATGAAGTATGTTACGTTTGAGCTGCATAAACTTGGGGGGAGGTTGAGAAATTTTCTACAGAGTAGCTAAAATAGTTGGGCCAGCCCGACTGCGCACTACAGTTGGGACAGATGCTAGAGTTGGGCGTAACATATGCACAAAGAGGAAGTGAAGCAGTCAAATCCTTTTTGTTCAGTGATATTCCTATGTACATGAATCTGTTTCCTTGCTCTATAATATGATGAAGTTCACGTACAATTATGGATATTCATTTGTATTTGGGTGTCAGTCACTTCACCCCGATTCCACGTCGTCCTATGGAGCTCGTCCCAAATCACTTAACTCTATCACTACACTGCCCCATCCGCACATTGCCCTGCAACCACCCCACCACCTTCACCCCAGCCGTGCTTGATCGTGAGGAAACTTCTGAACAGGGCGCCCTTGTTACAGTTGGTGTAGATTGGACACCATTAAAAAAATGACAATGGATTTGATTATAAAACTAGATTAATGAAAGAAACAGTATTATTCCATTTAACTTTCATCCAAGTTCCCCTGGAGTCTTCTATGGATTCCCTGTCCGCAGAGTTATAATGACTCGAGTCACAAGTTTTAGCGACTCACGGCTCGACTCAAGTCTGTGACCAAATAACTTGACTTGAATCGACACGAATCTCTCATGGAGACTTAACTCGAGTACAGGCTAATAAAACTCAAGTCTCAAAAAATTAGAAGCAAAATTTTAGTTTGCTAGATACCTGTCACCCTAATTTATTTTCGGAATGTCCAAATTAAAAAAACAAAAAATGACTTGTAGTTTGTCTTTTATTGTATTTTGTTCAAAACTTTGTGACGCAAATTGACTCGAACTCAGTACTTGTTTCGACTCAACTCGGCTACACTAAGTTACTTGACTCGATTTCTTGACCTAATTACTTGACTCAACCCAGGTCACACTGCTAAAATGACTTGAGTCCCCAAATTTAGTGACTTGTTGCAACACTGCCTGTACATCTTCTATTAATCATTTCATTTAAGACATTTCATTGTTCGAGCCATCACTTAATTTTGTAAATCTGTTTCCGAACAGACTTGACTTTCAAAGGTAGAAACTACAGAGGGCAACTTTTATGTTCTCCTTTTGCAATTATATTAAGGTGTCATAAAAGTTCAAAGGCTAAACTTGGGCTGAGTCAATTTGAATACTTCACCATTTGAATATTTGACGTTCAACTTGATTGAATATCTAAATATTCAGTCCTACTGTCCAGCAGATTGTTGATGATTAGACCATATACAAAATTTGTTGGAATAACGCACACAATTGTTCATTATAATTTTTATAATACATGTAGCTCTTCACGACGAGGAGTATCTCTAGCAACAATTTAGCAGGATTTAAGAGACCAATAATACTTCTTGCCCTGTTGAAAATTTCTATTCCTTTTAAATTTTTTAATGAATGATTTACTTTTTCAGTCATAAGATTTGTCGCTCTTCATTTGAATCTGCTTGCAACAAGCTTCCATAGTGCAGTTTTTCTCATTTAAAATAGAAATAATTCTACCCTCCTTTACATGAATTTTGCTTTGAATATTTAAATTGGGAAAGTAATCTTTGAATATTTAGTAATCAAATATTCGGATAGTCGGCACAGCACTAGGTTGAACTAAGGAGAAATAAGACAAACACAACAAACACATAACTACGTGGTGAGAGATATTCTGGTTTTAGTTCCATGGCATAATGCATGCAATTATAACATAAAGTGGATAAGAGAAACTTTGAAAACAAAGCCAGAACAGATGTACATGTATTCTGAACAGTGACCCATAACAAATAACAGGTCTTAATTATTTGTGGTAACTTTGTATCCTAGAATTAGAGAGTCTGTGGATCGGTGGGATCCATATTGAGAGTCTTCACCAAGACAACCAATCACAATGGAAGATTACAAGTATCTGTTTAAAGTGGTTCTAATTGGCAATGCTGGAGTGGGCAAAACATGTCTGGTCAGACGGTTCACACAGGTAGGCACATGTCAGAATGATCTTTATAAGGTAGAGATGGTGCAAAGTGTGTCACTATTTTGGACACCTTGGAAATTCTAATTGTAGTATCAAATGCCGATGTGGTGGTGGGATCATAATTGTCCTCATTCATAATTTCACAGCAAAGATAGACATGCTGAATATAACTCCTGATTTGAAGCTTGATTCGAGGTAATGACTTGCTTTTCATCGTTTGAGAGCAAGAAACACCAGTGACACAAATTCATTTGAAAGATTTTCTTTTGAAGAACTGGGAAAGCATAATTATATATTCCATCTCCCACATACAAAAAAGGAGCAAATGTAATATGAGTAGTTTAAAGGTACTTTTGGGTTTTGTCATTATTTCTAGTCATTTTGGTACAATTGTCTTGTCATATTGGACCAGGGTCTGTTTCCACCCGGGCAGGGTGCCACCATTGGTGTGGACTTTATGATCAAAACAGTGGAAATTGGTGGAGAAAAAGTCAAGGTAAGGTTGAATGTGTACAGTCCCTTCAGATGTAAGCAAAATAATCATTTATTATGAGTAGGAAAAATAATGACATATATTTAACTCCTATTTGCCTGACAAAGTGTCCACAGCTTTAACTTGTGTTTATTTCTTTTTACCAGTTGCTAAGTTTAATTAAAGACTTACATGTGTATTATTCATGTTTATGTAATGTGTAATAATGTGAATTTGAAAATTTTTGGAAACTCAGGTTCCATCTTATGAAACAAGTGGAGAGTTATCAGATTGAGCAAAGACGAGAAGTTCCCAATATTATAAAGTTTAGTCAAGTTTTAATGGAAGGACACCCCTACAAAACCCCCACAAAAATCTAAGAACAAAAACCAGTAATACATGTACATGTATAGAGTTTATCTTCCTTCAAAATGGCTGGAGAACCTCACACAATTCTGAAGTTGTCTCAAAAGCTCACCATACGAAAAAGTATCAGTAGTTGGAAGTAACAAGTTTGATTGATCCCGCCCCTAGCTTCAGATATGGGATACAGCCGGTCAAGAGAGGTTCCGATCTATCACACAGAGTTACTACCATAGTGCTGATGCATTGGTCCTTGTCTTTGATGTCACGTCCACTGAGAGCTTTAATGCTCTGCCCAGCTGGCTGAAGGAGGTGGAGCAGTACGCCAGCCCCAAAGTCATCTCCGTGTTAGTGGGTGAGAGCAGAGTGCCAAAGGTCCTCCTATCCCATTGTCAGGTTGCACTAGTAGCTTGAGTTAGTTAAATGAGCCTCTCGCATTTGAGACAAACCTAAACTTGTCAGGCACGACAGAGTGCAACAGGTAGAGAAGACCAGGATCTTGTTGCCTTGAGCTGTCAGTGGCCCATTTTGAGAAAATAGCCGTTAGTCCCTCTAAACATTCTAACGTACGGTGATATCCTAGGTATTTGTACATGTATGTAAAAAAAAAATTGGAGCAGAAACAGAATTTCTAAAAACTCCCAAGAATCTAGTTGCTGCAAACCAGACCTTGACCACGGTCATTGACAAAGGTCTTAGGTGCTTGCATGTTTTGGAACAGAAACACAACAGTTGGATCCTATGCTGGCTGGAAGGCAGGGACTGAGCCCGTTTCACACTGGAGATGCATGTAGTTAACTTGTTGGATGTTGCACTGAGCAGACATCTTACTTTAACAAGCTGTTCTCTTGTTTTTTTTTTTGGTTTGTATTCAGCAGGGTTTCTCAGTGAAAAATACTACCCATGAAAGCCAGGATTAGGTTATTAACATGGTGAATTTTGTTCTCCATATATTTCTTGCACAGGAAATAAAATTGATCTGGCCTCCGATCGCGAGGTCAGCAATGAAGAAGCGGAGACGTTTGCCGACACCCATGACATGCGTCTGCTGGAAACATCAGCCAAAGAGTCGGACAATGTGGACAAGCTCTTCATGGACATTGCAGTGGAGCTGACCAACAATGTACGCAACTCTGACATCAAGAACTCCCTGCTAGAGGACCCCATACGAGACCACAGCAGTGTTTCATTCTGTTGCCGAACGTAATGCCCAATCACAGGTGAACACCAGCTCATTTTTTTTGGTGTAAAAAAATCTGCATTGTCTTTTTTTTTTCAGTATTTCTCCACATACTGCAACCCAGTCCTTTTTATTTTACAGCTTTCCTATCTTTTCCTTCTCTCTTTGTAAGTATTCTATAATCGGCCATATTGGGCATGTATAGTCATTCAGTATTGACCAATTTATGAGAAAATGAAAACTTTGATGAAGAAATGTTTGCCAGATTCCTATCAGTTATCTAAAATTTCAATGCATTTGTGCCAAATATGGCACATTAATCTCCTTGGTAGGAAGTTGCGTACAAGTGCATAAAGTGACAAGCACTTTCAGTGCTGTGTATGCGTGCAATAGCTTATAAGTGTTTTATCCAGTTATTTCAAAGTTAATTGTCTTGAAAATTCCACTTGAAACAGACAAAGAATGGGAGTGCTGGAAAGTGAGCAAATTGATGTATGGTAGAAATTGAGACAAGAAAAATTTGTTTATTAAATGAAATATTGAAATATTTCTTAAGAAAAGAAAGAAAAAAATACTGTATCATGTGAAGTTGTGAAAAGACTGTCTGTTTGGAAGAGCATTGTAAGGTTTTTGAAGTATTATATCATGTGTTTGGCATATATTTATGAAAGAGGAAGTTTAAATGTTTTATATTGGTTGTCTATCAAAATTTTTTGGGCATTAAAATGTGCAAGTACAAAAAGGAAAAATAAGAATCGCATAATTTAACTTGAGTGTAGCTTCAACTTGCCATTGTAATTAGTGGATTGTTTTGTGCTGTTTGTGACACCTGGTAAAAAAAAGTGACACTGCATGTATGAACATCTAACAAAAGAAGTACGGTGCAATAACAATGGATGCTCATTGTTAGTGTACTGTGTTTCTTTTGTCAGATGTTCGTAGTGTGAATTGATACATTTCCTTAAATTGCTAGTCAAGTCATGATATAAATGAAATCTTTATCTGTACATTTGACTATACATACATACATCAAGTTTCTTAATTTAACAATTATTTCAAAGACCATTTATCAGTGACCGTATTACAACTACATTGTGCAAATTAGAAACCCTTTTTCGTGCTTTTTGCTGGTGTATTGTAAATTGTAAAAGTGGACCTTCTCAGTCTGCAAAAGTGTACATTTTTTTCCTATGCATGGAATTGCAAAAGGGTGCATGGCATATTGCATGTACAAGTGTACCCAAGACAGTCATGTCATTTTTGTGTCTTCAACTATTTGCGCAAAGCAGTGGCTATATGTATATGTATGCTAATACTATGGTTTTCTATCCACCTGTATGCCCAATTCCTGCCAGCTATAATGATGACAAGTGAGTTGTTTGATGTAGCAAGTTCATAGATTCTCTTGAATTACGTGTACATGTATGAACCTAATAGAGTTTTTACTCTGTCAGTGGTTGAATAGATCATCTGTAAGAGATGCAGTTGCATTGTAATACACTACTCAAAAAAGTTCAGGACCATTTTTATTTTGTGAAAACTTTTATATATGAGATACTTTACATCTGAAAATGTGCGTTAATTTTCTATTCCAATGAGAACACCATCGGCCCCACTCATTGCTTGGAAAAAAGTACAAATCAAGAAAAAAGTGGTCCTTAACTTTTTTTGAGTAGTGTACATCAAGTGTCTTGTGATGCAAATCTAGATTGAATGTCTTGGCTACGGCTGGTGACAACACGTGCTTATGGAAGGCATGTTCTCGCGGCTACAGACCTTTCCCATAGATATATCTGTTACACCCAGCAATAGCCAATTGACTCGGACATGGCGGATGACAGTGATGACTGAATCAAAAATCTACTTCAACTGTCACCTAAGTTGACAGTGCTAAAAACTCAAAACAACAAGTAGTTGTGTAAGCATATACACGTGTGTATGCAGAGCCGTAGCATAGTGAATGTGTGCACATTGGGCATGTCTGAATTTGACAACAGAGTAGTTCCATTGTGCAACAAAATCTTCTCTTGCCAGAACATTTGTATTGTGTTGTACATGTATATTGCGGTCTTTGTTCTTGGCCAAATAATACTTGTTTAAAATTGTTAATACTATTTAAGTTATCTCAGTTTTCTTTTTTTTTATTGTATGGGTTACCAGCAGCCTAGTGCAATATTTGTTCAAGTTGTTTTGCAATGTGTCAATTTATGAGCCATTTTTTTACATGCCATCCATACCAGTATTATTAATTTGAATCTTGCCCGTCTTTTTTATTGCATGATGATTTGTTACATCTTTACATGTATTGCATCGTGAATTCACCTTAGACTTGCTGTGGACACCCTGCTAAATGCTATCATAAAGTGCATTATGCGCACAGAGAAGTGCAAGGTCTTCTGACACTTAGATAAAAAACAAAGTCTTTTCTCACTGCGCTGGTTAACAGCAGTCAAAAGAAACTCCGTTCCCGATTTCAGCAGGGTTATTTTTTTTTATCAGTGGCACTAGAGCAGGGATTTATTTCCAGTAATCATGCATGTGCAGGAAGATTGCTATACTGCGCAGACCTACTTTGGCCTGATCATCATACATTTGTGATGAGCAGATTTAGTTCGCTTATTTTGCTGTGCAGTTGTGGCCAAAGCCTTCCATGTATCATAATTAAGGACAAATTATTATGCCTTATTCGGGTTCATCGGGCCCTGATTTTATGCAAAGTTATAGCAAAAGACTTATTACTATTGTGTGCTGAACGTAATTACGAACTTTCTGTAAGATGTTGTATAAGTAGCAAGGCAGTGAGAGCACTGCATATTACACGTAGCATTCACTTGTTGCAAATAGATGGTGGCTTGAGCTTACAACAGAAAGAATTCAAACTTCTCAATCATGCATTGTTTTTGTCACATCACCATCACATTTGTGGTCCTGATGACATAGGGTTTTTCATTGTCTAATAAATCCTGAAATGACAGCGTAAACATTGTACACATGTATGTGGCTGTCTGGAAAACCCTTTGAAACATGCTCAGTTTTTGAATTGTTTTAATTTAAACAAATTACATGTGCATAATTTTCTGATTTCAGCAGTGTTCAACCGATCTTATGTATTCATAGCTCTTGCTGTTGTGGAAATTCTTTCTGACCTTTAACATTTGAAAAATACATGAGAGAAAAACTAGGCTGTAAGATTATTTTGAAAGGTTAACATAAAAGTTGACCTTTAGATCAAGTTTTCTGAAGATGTACAACTTCTTAAGGGCATGTCAGACTGTTCCTCCATAACTGCATCTGTATCATTGAGTCAGCAATATGTTGCCTTCTTGCACATCCCACTAAACTTTTCCTACATTTACTGTGAAGACAACATGACCCACTTGATACAATTTGGGCATCTCAGAATAGTAAGCCTCCAAGAGTTTGCTACGCGTTTGCCAATCACAATGCCCGAAATTTGTCGGCCCAGTGCGCATTTGGAAAGGTTCAACAGATTTTTCGCGTTGTGATTGGCAAATGCATTGCAAACTCGTGGAGGCGCACTATTGTGAGTCGCCCTGTATTGCGTTAATTGTGGTCACAAAATAGGATTTTGTTTGGGGAAAGTTTTAGCTTATCACTGATACAAGTGTATGAGCGCATGCTCAGATTAACACATCTTATCAAATTTCTTCATCATCTACCATTTCGATGCAAAGCTATTCGTTTATGCTTAATAAAATTATCATTTTGATATGGTGCTATGTGTACATGACATTATGTGAAAGGAATGCACAGTTAGTTTGTGAGTTTTGTGCCTATAGGTAGATTTGGAAAGAGTTCTATATATGGACGCCACTTGACACCCTGTGCAAAAACCCATGGGCCTGATCTGAAAGTGTTTCTAGGTTAACGACTTGTTCCCCCCCCCATTGAACTTTTCTGGACATATTTTTGCTTTCTGAAGGGTACTTGGTCACTGTAGGGAATATTTAGTGGCGTCCATATGTGGAACTCTTCCCGTAGATTCAAATGTAGAAGATATGTAAATGTACCGTACTTTGGGAAACTCTGCGATTTCAGAGAACATACTTGCACACGTATACACAATGTTGTGCAGGTTGCATGGCTGTGTATGCTTCAACAACTTGTAGTTTAATTCATTAATGTAGGCATCTGTTCTGCTTATAATGCCCTTTTATTGTGAGCAAGGTGAACGGGTCGCATGTATTAAAGATTTGCTTAAAGAATCTTTTGCTTTCCAGTTTTTAGGCTACTGAAAGAGCCAATGTGTAATGTTAAGGGTTTGCTTTTAGCTGCCACAAATAATTTTAGCGCAAGTGAGAATAACTGGGAGCCTAACAACAATGAATGACACAGTTGAGTTCAACTCACCCTACTCTTGTATCTTCACCCAGGTTGAATCATGATTTGCTAGCGCACTTTGTCAAGATGAACTCCAAGTCAAAACATTTCCAACTCTGGCCAGAAATCTCCACAGTCTCCTTTAAAATCGCACATTCTGTACTACAGACAGTAAATGGTGCAGAAGCATGTATATTTTGTGCCTAGGTGCTTGCATTTTGCAAGAAAAATAAGGCACTCTTTAGTCTTGATGACAAGAGGAATGTCCAAAGTTCAATATGCAATCCCAGGGCTGTAGTGTCAGTGACCTTTAACCTCTAGTGGGCTGACAACATATCCCAATTGGGCTACTTAGCCAATCAGGCTAATAAAATGCCTTTTGTCTTGTGATTTTTCTCTTCTGCCAAGTTGTATCGCTAATCTTCAACATCTCAGTGGTCATTTATGTTTTGTCATCTTTTTAATGGGCATACAAAACCGACTTCCTCATGACCCCCGACCCTAAAAGTATACGGTTGTGTGGTCAATTTTTTTTCCAATCAAACTTTATCCAATTTTTTGAAAGTATTGTAACCTCTACCCCTGCATGTTTAGCATGCTTGTGAAAAGGATTGGGAAAAATGAATAATACCTTACTGGCCCCATTTTCCAACTTTTCCTCAAAATGAACTGGCTGATTAATGGCCTGCTATACATCTATGTACAGGCATATAGTGTGGTTATATTCACTGCCCCCCAAAATTGTATGAAGCAAGTCTATGAACTTTTTAAAAGTTTATAATTTATGTTATGTATGTACGAGTCTCAGTTTTTGTCCCAGTAAGTTTGGTCCCATGTGAAAAAGAGCATCTGTTTTGTTACAAGCCTGTTCCCTAAATGTTCCCCTTTTTTCACCAGCAGTCAATACTTGTCCCATTCCCTTTGCATACACAGTATCACCGGTAGTAAAGCAAGGTAAAGAGCCAGACTTAATTTACAAATGTAATGCTTTGTAAGGTTCCAAATGTGTCTAATTATCAGATATGGGCTATTGCTTGTCAAAGATGAAATTCAATAAAACAAAAATCCACATCCAAAGAAAACTACCTCAGGAATCCAATTGCTCTTTTTTTGACTGTATGTGTTTATTATATACAAATTAGACTACTTAAGAAGAGCGATACATTTTAGGTAAAACGTTAGGAAAAATGTCTACACTGTTGGGTAACCTTTGCCCTCGGAAACACTTAAGCAGATGGTCGTAGACACTAAGAAACAGGGACTTTTAGTTTTTAAATAGGAGGGGTTAGAATTGAAGCTGCAGCCTTCAAAGACTTGGACTGGGGGATTTTCTCATTTTTAATGTGTGAAAAATCATATTTTCATGGATGGGATCCCCACATTCCCAGAAAAAAATGATCTCTTGCCGTACATATGGAATTCAAATTACTGGTCTTAACACCTGAAACAATGAAAACTTATTGTTCTGCCTTCAATTTCTCTTTATAACTAGACATTTAAAAAATATGGCAAATAATTTGGAATGAGACTTGATGAACAGAAACAAGTTTTTGGATATTTCTTTCGTTTTGAATATTGAAGTTCATCTTCTCCAATGAAACTGCATAACAGACAGAATAGAAATTCTGAATTCTTAAACGTGACGATCTTGACGTATATTTATCACTGATTATTCAAGTTCATCGAGAGCAAAAGGGATACCTAGGCAAAAGGACATGCCACTGGGAAAAATTTTTTTCAGCAGCCTCTACAGCTAAGGGGTAAAAATTACTTGCAAATTATGAGGCCATGTGGCTACATCACAAAGGCCGGAGGGAAGTCTTGAGGAGCTTGCCCTTGACTATAACAGCCAGGCATCTGTGATGCAATGTTCAAATCGGTGTTGATTTCTCCTTGCAACTTCTGGGAACCGGACATGTTCGTAAGGGCAGAGTTCAGTGACATCATAATCCATTGTCATGTGCGGTGGCCTTGGCTCTAAACCTGCTCAGCAGTAGGTCAGCTGCCATGCCTGCTGTGATCCTCCCCTGGCTGACCTCCGCCTCCATTTGGGGGATCTCCGGCCGCACCTCTGGGTGGCACCTGAAGATGTCCAGGATGTTGTCACGGATGTGGTTCCACATCCAGGTGCGATGTTGGTGGGCTCGCTTGGGCAGGAAGAGCTTGGACTTGATCATGATGGTGTGGTACTCCTCCATGGTTTCCCAAGCCTCTGTAAGGCCGGTCTTGGTAAGAGCCGACACCTGCATGACCTGATACACAGAGTACTAGACTTCACGCTATTCTCACAGAAAAGTGCTTACGATTCCTGGAAATGCCAAGGTAAACAACAGCCATTCTTTAAAGACTTAGTGAGTGCCCCTGTCTCTGGTGTACTTACACTTCAAGGAACCAGTCAGCTTAGACAGTGCATCTCCACTGTGTCACTGTCTATGGAAATTTGGTCATGATATCCGCAGGTGTATTAAGAGGAGCCAGTGGAGGCCCACAGTCCACTGAGCACTGTGGGAAAGCACACATGTACACAAAGTACAGAGGTCTATGGG